GTTCTCTTTCATATTAACCAAAGTGTATAAAAAGTGAAGCATTTATTTTAATAAACAAGAGAACTTCGTTTCAATTATAAAGTACCATAGTCATAATGATTTTCTCTCATCAAGTTCACCTCATAATTAAGTCACCCTTATAGAATTATTATGTCCTATCTCCTAAACTGTTTCTCCTGCAAATCTGCCCTGAATTTTTTTTTTTGGGTTTGTTTTTACAATATATCATGATCCAGTGATCAGAATTTAATGATTTTGGTAGCATATGATTCGTCTTGATAAGGCGATTCAAATGGTGTCAAAATCATCAAACTCCATTCACTAAATCGAGAGATATTTGCAAAAAACAATTTGAAACGCAGCTTTACAAAAATTTAAGTTTTCCGCACTGCAGATAGTTTTTTGCGAATAACTCATGATCTAGTGATCCAAATTCAAAGATTTTGATACCATTCGAACCGTCTCGGCGAGACGAATTTAATGATATCAAAATCATCAAATTATGATCGCTAGAGTATGATATATTATCATTTAAATAATATTTACCCTTAAACCGTTTCTCCTGCAAATCTGCCCTGAAAAATATTGAATTTTGATTGGTAACTAATGTAACACTTGTATTACATAAATTAAGATTTTAAAAAATTCTGGTTTTAAAAATCCGATTTACTTTATTTAGCAATTCATAAATTACAATTTAGCAATTCATAAATTTCAATTTAGAAATTCATAAATTTTTTGTATTTTATAGCAATTATGATGACATTCAGGTTCGATCATCTTCTACATTATCTTAATTAAAATTAAAATATTTTTTTATCGTTATTAAATTTTTTTTTTGCATATTCTTATTTTTAGATGCAAATATGAGTACGGATATTGAAGATAATGATTTATATACCTTTGAAATTACACGAATTATTACCGAAATTGAAAATGAAATCACGATTAATGATCCTACAGATGATACAGAAGAAGAGTTTGAAGACAAAGCTGATGAAGAATCTGAAAGTGAAGCTGAGGAATTCAAAAATGAAGCCACAAATAACAAGAACAAAAAAAAAGAGAGAAAGAAACTAACAGTAATCGAGCAAAAAAAAAAAAAGTATCTCAATCCTCAAATTTGCTTGACTTACCACTGCTACCGTCATTTCAAAAATTTCAATATTCAAAACCGTATCACTCTTCTCAAATAAAACTATCCAATAAACTAACTGTTAAAGTTACACCATATTCGATTTTTCAGCTATTTTTTACTGATTTACAGCTAAATACTATCGTTGAAAATACAAATTACTATACCATAACAAAATCAGCGGGTAAAGGGCGTAAGTGAGTTTCTTTAACTGTAGAAGAATTGTTGATCTAGTTAGCTCTAATAATTTATATGGGCGTTTTTAAACTGCCAAGTAAAGATGACTATTGGAAAATGGATTGGAAATATCCTCAGCATAATATTACTAAATATATGACATTAGTTCGATTTGAACAAGTTATACCATTTATTTTAATTTCTTTTAAATTTTATTTATTAATTTAATTTATTTTTTTTTTTTAAAAAAAAATTAATAAAAAGATAAAACACTATTTTCATATTTCAAAAATAGAAACGAAAATATCACGATTACTATGGTATTCGAAAGTCGAACCTTTAGCCATGCACATCTAGGAAGTTTCAAAGATGATTTACTTACTAAAATCACAGGTTTCAGTTGACGAAATAATTGCTAGATTTAAAGGAAGAAGTAGTCATACCGTACGAATTAAAAATAAGCCCACGTCAGAAAGGTTCAAAATACTTTCATTATGTGATTCGGGATATACTTACTGCTTTATTTTTACCTTCTGTATTGAACCTAATTCTGAAATTAATCCAATTCCGAATGTTAATAAGATTGGTTGGCAAGTGTATCATCTAATATCGCAGCTTTCGAAGGGCAAGGCGTTCGATATCTATATGGATAATTTTTTTACAAGCATAAATCTGTTTAGTTATATGCGAAAAAATGGGTATAGTGGTTGTAGAACAGTATGATGTAATACCTTAAAATTTCCTGCTTTTTTAAAAGTTAAAAAATCAAAAAAAATAGAATGAGATACTTTTTTTGGTGCCGTTGTTGATGATGTATTAGTTGTGTTCTGGATGGATAATGGACTCGTAAATATGTTAACAACCATACATGAAATTTCAAGCGAAGAATGTCGAATAGAAAGAGAAAGGCGACGACCACGAACAACTAGTACTAATGCTAACAAAATACGTAGTGTGTTCGATGATAAAAGTAAAAAAATTCTCTCCATACCGGTTGTAATTGATGATTATAACCATCATATAGATGGTGTAGATATAGCCGACCAATTAAGGGGCTATTATGATACACAAGTACCTGTACGTTGCATTTGGATGCCATTATTTTTTTGGCTTCTCGACACTAGTATTGTTAATACCTTCCTTATTTCAAAAGCTCTTAATGTGGGCACGATACACAAAGATTTAAGAATAAATTTAGCATGGAGTTTAATCGAAGAATTGTTAGAAATGAACAAAAAATTACACATACGAAAAAATAAAGCAAAAATTCAATCAGAATTACATAATCAAAGTTTGGAAAAAAAGTCTATCTATGTTACAAAAAATTTGACTTACCAATTGCACGATTACTACCACAAAGCCATTATCCAGAATGGCATGAAGAGAGAAGTTCTTGCATTTGGTGCCGGTTTCAATACATGTCTGAGCATGGAAAACATGACAAGAATTCACCACAAAGTTATATGTGGTGTATAGTGTGTAATGTTCCTTTATGTATTAATAAGCAATGCCCAGATTGCTTTATTAAGTACCATGAACATAAATAAATTAAATAAATAATATTTCATACTTATTTATAACATATTATATCATTTATGTTATTATTTTTTATATATTTGTAGTACATGTGATTATCGGAAAATTTCAAGGCAGATCTGCCCTGAATTTAAAATGGTTTAAGAGATGTATATTATTGGTTCAAATTCTATTTAATCTCATCATTCAACTTATATAATCACAAACTAATCACAAAATTGAAGATTTTCACCCATATGTCGAGTTTAATCATTTCGGTCAAAAAAATCTGGAACTAACAACCATCTTTTTTTCATAGAGTTACTCCGATTGGCTAAAATTTAAAATCCGCATTTCGCACAATAAATTTTTGGCAAAATTGTTACAGGATCACTTCAATTAATTTAGGGATGGGCAATGTAATAATTATGTAAGCTATAGCTAAAATTTAACCCTTACATATTTTAAAAATTATTACATATTAAGTAATTTAAGAGTCATCGATTACAAATAAACTATAAATACATGTATGCAAAATTGTTTGAGTTAAATAAAAGGTTCGATCACATCGGAATTAGCTATTTTTGCTGAAAGCGAAAGATTCTGGTCATTTATTGTAAATATCCATTTACCACAGTGTAACAAATTTATAAACGAATGTGCAACAAAAAATAACATGCATTCGATGGCATATTGCACAAGAAACAAATAATTCACATCATATTGTTCAAAATAAAAAAAATAGGCTTAATCAAAATCGTTCAAACTAATACAACTAATTCTAATGAAGCAAGTCTTGAAAATACCGCATCGAATATTGAATTTGATGATATGGAAGATGATGATAATTTGGAAGAAAAATTTGAAGAAAATGTAATGCAAACAATTGAAGCATTGCTAATTTTAATACCAATAATCAAATTATATATAATGAATTGAAGCCGTAATTTAATCTTCTATTCAAGCTACACATAGCATTCAAGAAAACCGATAATGCTTAATCATTAAATTAATCATTAATTGTATGTGATAAATTGAAATTTGTTGCTAAAAATTTGAATTTATTTCAAAAATATATATATATTAAACTTGAAATTTTTTTTTATCTTGGCGTATTGATTTTACCATAAATTGTAAGAATATTAAAAATATTTAAAAATATGTAAATTAATTTCGATTAATCGAAATGATTGTGCAACATCTGCAAATTAAAATTACATCGGGGGAGCTGCTCGAGAACAACCTTAATAAGTAAATAAAAATGGTAACAGTTTTTAAAATAATGTTAATTATATATATTACTCAAAAATTATGTATCTTGATAGAAAAAAGGTTGTGTGTTAGAATGATAGTCAATCATTTGGCATTTAACACCCCAAATCAGTGATCATTTTGGCACTATCGACAAATCAAATATCAAGATTTTAACATGCAGTACATTTTTGTGTCTGGGCATTTTGGACTGTCAGCTTATAAATCTATCCCATTGCGTCACTCAATGTCAAATGTTGGTCAAGTTGTACAAGTGATAGCACTTCCTGTTACGTAGTATATCGATATTAATTTTCTTTTACAATTTGTATACGATAGTGCTTGATCAATCTGGTCAACATATTAATATATTTATTGCATATGTAAATCATTATGGCCAATAGTTACTTTTTATATTTCTATTATTCAAACTTGAAGTTGGTATGTACATACGTACTGTACGTACGTACGTACGTACGTTATTGTTAAACCAGATAAACGGATAATTGACCCTACCTTTAGACCTCTATGTTAGGTAGTGATTTGCATCGATAACAATAATGATAATTCACCCTTGGCTCCGGTTTCACCTTATCGTATTATGAAAACCGAGTACGTATTACCGAATGAAGTCTAGAATTTTTATAAGGTTTCCATTTGTGATAGATCTGCCTCTTTTGTGTATAGAACCTAATTCGGATCGATTAAATAACCTTTCCTTCAACCCAGATCCACACATTTACGAACTTTACGATTTAGTTCTTCAAACATCCACGAATAAATGGATTTAAGTACAAAACATATAGATAGAGATGATGAACGTTCTATATTTTCGATTGATTCAAATGCACCATTATTGACAGATGATGAATACGTTAATAATACCTTACTACAGGAGGGTGAAGATACATCTCGTATCTATGATGATGAACGGCAAATTGATTACTCAAATAATGTTGGAAGACAAGGTATTTCGGGTTCTAGTTGGGCAGCGTATATAAATGTCACGTGAGTTTTTTTGATATAGTATCGATATGTAATTATCTTATTAAGCATTTAAACTAAAAAAATTCAACTCATAGTTGCTTGATTGCAGGAACTGGAATTTTTGGGTTGCCATATGCCATCAAACAAGGAAGTTGGATTGGAATTGCATTAGTAGCATTGCTCATGCTAATGACTCAATATACAAGTATAATTTTAATTAAATGTCTTTATTATGATCGGTATATTTAATATTAATTATCTAAAAGTTTACCAGTTAAAGAACTATGAAATTATTTGAACATTAGTGATTAATACAATATATATATACTTATCGTCCAAAATAGCAAACATCGTTTAAGTACTTATGCAGATATCGGTTACCATGCGTATGGAAATGTTGGAAAATATATTTTGATTGGATTCAATAACATGATTTTGCTAGGAATTCCGATATTCTTCTTACTTATTGCGGGAAAGAATCTTGACAATTTAGTAACAGTGCATTTAGGAATACACATAGAAACTCGAATATGGATTTGTATAGCTTCAGCTTTAATTTCCATACCATTTATATTAATGAAATCATTGAAAGATGTATTTTTTTTAAGGTTAGTAATAAATTTTTTTATCATTTAAAGGAATTAATAACTAAATAATACCTTAACTTTATATAGTATTTTTGGCGCACTTTCGACTTTGTTTTCGGTAATTGCTGTCGCCGCATTATCGTGTAAAGACTTTACTGAGGTTATGGCTTATTATGATCCTTGTTCGCACAATTTATATAAATTTCCTGTATCATTCGCGGCAATATCTCTCTCATATGGAGGAAATAGCCTTTTCCCATCCATTGAAGGGAACATGCGGAAACCTAAAGATTGGAATAAAGTGGTAACTACCGCTTTATTTACTTGTACATTTATGTATTTGATTGTTGCATTTTCTGGATATTATGTGTTTGGTGATTGCAAAATTGTTCATGCAAATCGACATGAAGGTAAAATCATGGAAAATGTTGATATTTGTATAATACTATATCATTAACAAAATAACTTACTTTTATAATTTTAATAAATAATAATATGATTAGGTCCAATTGTTACAATAGCAACCATATTTATTACCATTGACATGCTTCTTACATCTCCAATTCTTTTAACATCATTCGCGTCGGAAGCTGAAGAGTTTTTAAATATTACATACGAGCGTTATTCAGTTATTTCGGAATTTCTATTAAGAGTCTTATTTCGCTTAAGTGTTATCGTTGGATGCGTGACTGTTGCCATTTTTATGCCGCTTTTTGGCGACTTTATGGCATTATTTGGTGCGTTAGGGATGTATTGCCTCGTGTTTATTTTTCCCGTGATTTTTTATATGAAATTATCTGGATGGAGTAAATTATCCTTTCTAGAATTGATGTTGGGTTTGTTCGTGATATTTGTTGGTTTTGTTGGATATGTGGTTGGAACCATAGATGCCGTAAGGTCATTGATAAAGGATTTTCAGGGCATACATGTTTCAGATTGTAAAATCTAAGTGATACATTAGGATGCAGAAAATTATAACATTATATTGTAAATAATTATGAATGATATTATCGTTATTTTTTTTGTTTTTTTTTTTTTAAATAAAGGACAAAATAGTTTTATTTAAAACACCATCTATCGTGCTATTAAATTAATGTTGCAAAGAATTCACAGTCTGTAAATTTATTACATTTTTAAATGTAAATTATTTGTTGCCGGGAATAATAGGTTGCTAATTTTTAATCAAAAAAGCGTGTTAAACTTGAGATGAAAGATATATAGTATCCTTTTTATTGCTACTACATTCAACATCCAGAAATCGACATAAAAGCATTTTTTACAAAAGGTCATTTTTGTTTGGAAAAGATATTCAAGAACAGATGACTGTTATGCAGCTTACCATGAGATAACCAACTATACTTGCTACTAAACCTATGCCCTCAAAATCGGTTTTCGTTTATAAAAAATTAAAGAACCAAGGCCACACAAATATAATATCTTGGTTTTCATAACATGAAACTTTTAAATAGACCCGACCGGTTGGCTTTTTTTTAAAATTTCATATAACATTTTTTTAAAAAAAATTGTTACAAAATTCCACCCGGTTATTAAAATAAAAAAAAATTGATCTGGCTGGGTTATGAAAACCAAATAATTAATTTTGCATGGCCCAATTCTAAATTTTGCAATATTATCTATAGGTGTAACATATTTAAATCAAGTTTATTAAGATAAGTTTGTTCACTCTATATTAATATAGAATGAACAACTCCTAAGGGGCTAATATCTCAAAAAATTTAATATATAATCTTGATTTAATTAAATGCAATTACAGTTACAGAATAATAAATCCAGCGGTGTAAGAGAACTATCACCACAGACTTATTATAAAATGTATTGATGCTATTTTTATTAGAAATAATTATCTGAAACCCGGGTGAATTACTCATCCCCCTTAAGTACCAAAGGAAACCTAATATATTAGAGTTAGAATCAGGGTTAGGGTTAGGCTTAGGTAAAATTGTGAGAGGAATATTTTTTACATTAGTAAAATTTTGAGATATTGGCATTTTTATTAGTATCACAAAATTTTTGCTGGCAAAATTTAAAGATATGATAAAGTGTTATAGGTTAAAGATTGAAATTAGAAGAGTTTTTGTTACTCTAAGTATTTGTTTTTTTACTTAGAATACCAAACAATTTTTTAACCAGTTTCGAACTGTAGCAGCGAGCGCATCTATTTTATTTGGTGATGATCCACTATACTTGGTTTTGGATTAAAAATTTTATATACAAAACTATAAAAACAGAAAAATCTAAAAAAAACATAAAAACATAGATGCCAAACCACAATAAATATGTTTTATAATAAATGAGAATTTATTGAATTTAGTCAGGTAGGTGTCAAGATGTTTTTGATTAAAAATATAAAAAATTTTATGGCATTTATTAATTAAAGATGCAGCAAAGATTTTGGATATTCTATAGAATAGGTGGGCAATATAAGAAATAAGCTTCGCTAATGATTAGTAATTATTAATTTTTTAATAGCGGAGTTGCAGAGTTTGCAGAGTTTGCGGAGTTTGCCCACCTATTCTATAGAACATCCAAGATGTTATCAAAATTTTAATCAAAAATATATATGAAGTAATTGAAAAGTTTGAACTTAGATCAATATAATTATTTTGTGATATAGTAATCAAAACTCAATAATTTTGGTATTATTTGAACCACTTTTACTAAAATGCACCTATAGTAAATTTCATCTATATGAAATACACCTATAGTGAAAATATACCTATGATGAATTTTACTATAAATGCATTTTCACTATAGGTGTATTTCATTAAAGATAAAATTCACTATAGGTGAATTCACTATATTGTAATAATCATCTATAATAATTAATATTTGAAATTTAAAATATATAAAAAATTCACAACTCTTCTTGCTGATTTTCTATACATAAAACACAAAAATAAAACAATGACAAAAATACATAACCATCAATAAAAAACAAGACTTGCAGTTCTAAAAAAAAATAAAAAAACCAAAAACAATACTTAGTTTTTTAAGAGACTAGAGTAAATAAAGCAGAAGTGGCAAAAATATAAAAAAAAACTTAAAAATTGTCAATAATTTTTGCTTTTTGCAAATTGTTTGGAGATTGGTCTTGATTCTGTAATGCAAATCATTTTTTGTAAAACAAAATATATAATATGTAATGAAGAATAATAAAGAAACATGTTAAGAATATATAACGAATGAAAACAAAGGAGATATACAAACACAACAACCAAATAGTTACATAGAACAAGAAATAATTAGAAAATTTTAGAAAAAAAATTATAATAGCAGAACAAGCAGAAGCATAAATCAATATAATACAAAAAGAATTAAGACAATATAGAGCAGAAAAAATTAAATATACAGAACTTGTACTTAGAAAAAGAAATAATACAGCATATTAAGAAGCAATATAGTTAAAAATCGACTTAACTAAATATATTCTATTAGAAGAAATAACTGAAACTATAAGAAACCTATATGCAATGAAAAGGAAGAGATAGTTTATATATAACAAAAAAAGAATAGCTGCTGAGTATGCAAGGTCTAGAATAGAGATAAGATGGATAAAAAGACTAGATAAACAAAAAAGTACCAATAAAAACAGTATAATAGAATGATATTAGAATTACTCTTATAGTCACTAGTCGAATATAAAAAATTCGACCATCGAATAAAATGGCCGAATCGACCTGAATTTGACTGTTAAATATTTGGCTGATATTATACTGAATGATAGAGTAAATCGACAGACGAATGCTAATAAAAAATCAGCAACCGAATTCAGGTCGAAAGTTTCAATCGACATCCGATTGACATAATAAAATCGACCTGTAATTGATGACTGAATACTTATAAAATTCGGAATAAAATCGGTATAAATTTGATGGCCAAATTTAGGTTGATTCAGCCATTTCATTCGGTAGTCGATTAATTACAATAAATCGACTTATAATCGACAACTGAATACTTATAAAATTCGGAATAAAATCGGTATAAATTCGATGGCTGAATTCAGGTCAATTCGGCCATTTCATTTGGTAGTCGATTAATTACAATAAATCGACTTATAATCAACCACTAAATACTAATAATCGACAACTGCTTACTAATAATATTTGGTATAAATTCGATAGCCGAATTCAAGTCAAATTGGCTA